GGTTCAAGGCTCTGGGAATCCAGGTAACTGAGCTGCATAGCTTGCAAACGTTGAGCCTTGCAGAAGTCTGCAAGGAGTTTGCAGATGTGTTTAGTTCAGAGCTAGGATCCTACAAGGGGTCCCCAATTTCACTACGGTTAGACCCAACCATCACGCCCATCAGGGTTAAGCCTAGGAGAGTACCTTTTGCCCTCAAAGGCAAGATTGATGCTGAGCTGGACAAATTGCTCCAGCAGGGCATTCTAGAACCTGTAGATTCAAGTCCATGGGAAACCCCCATAGTAACGCCTCTAAAGGCTAATGGGGACATATGTATATGTGCAGACTACAAGTGCACACTGAATAAGGTGCTGCAACAGCACGCTTATCCAGTGCCTGTGGTAAGTCACATTCTGGCCTCCCTCAAGTGAGGGATGAGGCAGCTGCAGAGGCCCAGACGATTGTAACTCACAGGGGGGCCTTCAAGGTCAAGAGACTGCAATTTGGGGTAAATGTAGCCCCTGGCATATTCCAAAGTGTCATGGAGAGCACACTTCGAGATATTTCTGGGGTCTGTCCCTACTTTGATGATGTCCTCATTGCTGGGGAGTCATCTCAAAATTTAGCAGAGAGATTAAGAGCTGTCTTGCTTCGTTTTCAAAAAGCAGGCCTTAAACTAAAGAAGGATAAATGTAAGATAGGAGTCACTTCTACTGACTTCTTAGGATTCAGGATTGATGCTCATGGCATTCACCCTGCTGAAACTAAATTGCAAGCTATCCAGCAGGCCCCAAGCCCTAAGTCTAAGAGTGAGCTGCAAGCCTTCTTGGGGCTATTAAATTTTTACCACGCATTTCTTCCACATAAAGCTGCAGTGGCAGAGCCATTACACAGGCTCTTAGACAAGCAGGCTCCTTGGCAGTGGACTAATGTCCATGACAAGAGTTTCAATGAGGTTAAGGCCTTGCTCATGTCTAATGCTGTTTTAGCACATTTCAATGAGCAACTGCCTGTTTGCATCGCATGCGATGCATCTCCTTATGGGGTTGGAGCTGTACTCAACCATCTGAAGGCTGATGGGACACAGGTCCCTGTGGCCTATTATTCAAGGACTCTGTCTTCTGCAGAGAGAAATTACGCTCAAATTGACAGAGAAGCGGCCATAGTGGCTGGCATTAAGAAATTTCATGATTTCTTATATGGCTGCCATTTCACGGTCTATATTGACCATAAGCCTCTGCTGGGTTTGTTTACCACTAACAAACAGACCCCACATATCATTTCTCCTCTTATGCTGAGATGGTCCATTTTCCTGTCAGCGTATGACTATACATTAGTTCACAAACCAGGAAAAGAAATGGGCCATGCCGATGGCCTGAGCAGATTACCCCTGAATCAATTGGAGCCAGATCCTGCTCCAGCCATTAATATCTGCCCATTTAGGAGTTGCCTGAGTCTCCCCTCAATGCTAGGGATGTGGCTGCAGAAACTGCCACTGATTACACGCTTACACGCATGCTGACATGGGTGTTGTCAGGATGGCCTGACAAGTGCCCAGATACTGAGTTCCAAAGCTTCTGGCTTAAGAAGCATGAGTTTTCCACTTTCAAGGGTTGCCTGTTAGGGGGTAGCAGGGTAGTGATCCCAGCCTCATTGAGGTCTAGAATCTTGATCTCTCTGATGAGGGACATCCTGGTATAGTCAGGATGAAAGTGCTTGTGCACAGCCATCTTTGGTGGCCTGGCCTCGATAAAGCCATCGAGGCCCAGGTGCACGGGTGCCAAGTGTGCCAACAGTCCCAGCCTGAAATGCCTCAGGCACCAGTACATAGGTGGGAGAAAACTCAAACCCCATGGTCTAGGGTGCATATAGATTACGCTGGGCCCTTTCAGGGGCAATTCTTCCTGGTTGTTGTTGATAGCCATTCCAAGTGGCTAGAGGTTGTTCCTGTTTCCTCCACTACTACTGCCAGGATCATCCAGGTGTTGAGAGGAATTTTTGCATCACACAGTCTTCCAGATGTTCTGGTTTCAGATAATGGCCCTCAATTTACCTCTTCTGAGTTCCAGGCTTTTCTTCAGGCCAATCTGATCCAGCATGCAACATCGGCTCCCTTCCACCCATCCTCCAACGGACTGGCAGAGAGAATGGTGCGCATCACCAAAGATGCCCTCAAGAAACTGACTTATGGTAACTGGAATCACAGGTTAGCAGATTTCCTTCTTGCACACCGCACCACACCATGCACTGCCACAGGGAAGAGCCCCGCTGAATTTCGCTGGGGCCGCCGCCTCATCACTAAACTGGACAGGTTGCACCCTGACCGGGTGGCTTCACAGGTGTCACAACTGCGGGCACCTAGGAGAGTCCAAGTGGGCGATCCAGTCTGGGCACGAAACTATGAGCCTGGTCATCTCTGGGTCACAGTTGTGGTCTGTAAGGTCTTTGGGCCGTTGTCATACAAAGTTGCCTTGGGAGATGGCCGCATTCTTCGCAGACACATAAACCAATTGCGTTGGAGACTGGACTTTCACTCTTCCACTCCTGGCTCTGCTCTGGGGGGGGGGGGAAATGAGGACCATAACATGCATTTTGAGGCTTGGTTTCACAGGCCCAACAGGCCATCACTAGCCGCTACTGAGGCTATTTGGGATTCATCCCAAGATTCCGCAAGTGCTCCTAACAGGAATTCACAGGATAGGGGATCATCCCACACATCCATAATCACTCCAGATAGGGAGACTGACTGGGGGTATCCACACAAATCACAAGCAGTAAGAGAAAAAGAATTTCAGCAGGGGCGCTTGCCAAATTCCTCAGTTGCTCCCAAAAGGAGGTCACCAGCAAAGGGGGTTGCCATGGAGGTGACTCCTGACTCTGGCACCTTGGGCACGTGCTTGGGGGCCACAGAGCGCTGGGGCACTTCCGCTATCCAGCACTCTCCATCTGCTGGCCTTGGGTTCGAGGGACAGTGTTCCCAAGAAGGGTCCATTGTGGACCCAGGGACTTCCACCCCTCGAAGGTATGCTGGCTTGGACTTAGAGGGTCCAGCCAGCCAGCAGATGGGCGGGTCACCTGGGAATTTAAGGTAGCAACACCCTGGCCTGCCTCGCCTGGTAGGCGAGCAGGTGGGCCAGGCAATCTCTCTTGGCCTTAGAAGGTCGCAGCGGGCCAAGTGCCCACCCAAACATCTTAGAGAATTTGTGAAGTTGCTGTCAAGTCACAAGGGTTCTGTTCATGAGGCCCCTGAATAACGGGTTGATTATTTTGTATTATTTTTTGATTTCGGATACATTTATTGCATGAACAAAGTTGAAGGGGTTTTGCCTGAGGGCAGACTCGAGTATTCCACATTCCTTGCATTTGATTAATGAAACTATATAACATTCTTCCAATGTATGACGTACATGTGTGTGCGCAGGTATGTTCCATCTAGGGGGGAAGGGTGTTGTGTCCTGAGCCTGCAAAAGTAGGCTCGGGATGTTGCATTGGTCCCGGGTATTCCAAAAGCTGCCCGGGACCAGACTGAGCGGCGCCAGCTTTGTGCGCATGCACAAGGCGTGAAAACACTCTGTTACTTTGTTTGCCATTGTCCGGGTCTCTGGACACATAAAGAGGCCTGCATGCCTGTTGTCATTCGTTCGGGTGTTGTTGTAAGAAGAATAAAGAGCTGTTTAACTTCGCCATGAGTATTCATCATTCGCAAGCGAACGAAGTACTTAACAATAGATTTCTTGGATGTGAAGACTGCCTTCCTGCATGGAGAAATCATGAAAGAGATTTAAATAAAGTAACCATTAGGTTCGGAAGAGCCTAGAAAGTAAGGGCATTTATGCAAACATCCATTTATTGCCTGAAATAAGTAGCAAGGGCTTTGAATGAGAAGTTGAACCAAATGGTCAATTGAGAAGTAATCCATGCAAGGAAAATTTGTCCCCTATCTATACTCAAAACTGAAATGACAGATGGTCCTTTGTTCTCAGGTATGTAGATGATATGATTATATGCCATGAGGGGAAAGCAAATAATCATGAGATAGTGAAGCATCTAAACAACGAGAGAGGTGGGAGAACCGTAACCTTGGCACTCAGATAGAATAAGGATAGAAGTGATCTTCAAAAACAAAAGATAAAAGAAACAACTTTTGAAGGAATAAAAGCCAAAGAATTTTGTGCATCAGTGGAGACAAATTTCTAAAGCAGGATAAATTGATACGATTCTGCCAAATAACAAACAGTACAGAAAGGCAATTGGGCAGCTCCTGTATGTACAAGATCAGATACTGCCACAGACTATAAGAAGTAAAAAAGAAAGCACCAATGAAAAATGTCCAGCAGGAAGTAGCTTGTCCAGCTGTTGTTCTTTTATCCACAGAACCAGAATATGCCCGAGGGATGCAAACATGTCAGGAATTTAGATAGCTACAGTCACTGGACTTTAGAATTGATGAGTCAAGTCTATTAAGAAATTTGTAGGCAGCCCAGAATGTATTCAGCTCTTGCTGATGGAGAAGACTAAATCTTAGATGAAGTTCATTTATGCAAAAGAAAAAAAATATGCAAGAGATGTTGAAATAAAGTCTTGTTCCACAGAAGATAATGGCAGATGATCCTCCTGGTACTGAGGGAACATTACTAGAATCCTTGAGATAAAAGGAGTTGTCATTTGGTGCCAGAGATATTAGTTCAAAGATATTTTAGAAGTAGCAACTCTTCCTACTGTTCCCCCCACTTTTTTTAAACTAGAAATATTATAAATAGAGTTAACAATCAAGAGATTTCATCTTGGGATTTTGTGTTTATTGCTGTTGTCTTTGTTCTACTTTCCCCAATTGGAAGAGTCTCTTTCAACTTTTTTTTAACAGAAAGAATAGAAAATGTCATCCTTCTTTATCTTTCCTCCCTCTTGAGGACAGAAAGTTTAACAAAGAAAATCTTTTGCACGTGGTTACTTCAACATTCTCTCTATTAAGGTATCATAGATTACCATACTTACATAATACTTATATATTTTGTCCTCAGCCAAAACAGATATGATGGAAGGGTTGGCTTGGTGCCTGAAGTCTGAAGTCAGGGTATGGCTGGAGAGGAACTGGCTGAATGCCGCCAAACGGAGTGGCTTTGACTTTAAGGTATGAATGATTCTGTGGAAATTCAATATCTGGCTCTGAACAGGGTTTGTGCTCCCCTGCTTGGAGGTAGTCTGCTATTTCAGAGTTCTTCTCGAGACTCATAGAGCCATGGTGGTGCAGTGGTTAGAATGCAGTATTGCGGGCTAATTCTGCTGACTGTCAGCTGTCTGCAGTTTGGCAGCTCAATTCTCACCAGCTCAAGGTTGACTCAGCCTTCCATCCTTCTGAGGTTGGTAAAATGAGGACCCAGATTGTTGGGGGCAATAGGCTGACTCTGTAAAACCGCTTGGAGAGGGCTGTAAAGCACTGTGAAGTGCTATATAAGTCTAAGTGCTATTGCTATTGCTCATAGCTTCTGCTTGAAATAGAGCAGGTCCATGAAAGAATGTAAAAATGGCCATGGGAATGGGGAAGAAATGAATATCTGTGAAGGAAAGAGTTTCATAAATGATGTTGGCTCTTGAAAAAAGAGGAGAGCATATGAAGGAACTCAAAAGAGCCTTGTTATTATTTTGTTTGGTATAACATGATATAGAAAGAAATTCTGACATGTTTCTGAAATTCTATTATCCTATCCTACAACAATAAAGGAGATTTTTGAGATGCCTGCTATGCCTGTTTCTGGACTTTGTCTACATTGAGGGCCTGACATCAATCTTGAAAGCCTCACTACTGCCTAATCAGAGAAGCATTGGAGCTTACCTTCTAGAGCTGGAACATGGTGACAGTCCTTGAGGCATACCACTGTCTGCAGAATATGTAGCAGAGGCACTGTTGAAGAATCTACAAAAGATAAACACAAAGGTGACACAGCTGATATTATACCTCAGCCAGGAATGGCCTCCACAACTTGCTGCAGAACTAGTATTGCTCCATTCTCTTGGAAACCCACTGGAGTAATTTAGAAGGGTTTCATTCCTCACTTTAATTTTGTAATTGCTCATAGTAGACCGACAAGCTAAGGCAGACATGTCAAACACAAGGCCCGGGGGCCAGATGTGGCCCGCGAAGTGGTTTCATGTGGCCCGCGAAGCCATCCTGGAAACAGTGAGGGAATGGCCCCCGCTGCCTTGGCCCTGGCCCAGGCCGGCCGGGAACCAATGTACAATTTTGTGGTGGCCATCTGTGTTGAAATGCATTCAGTCTTAGCTCCACAAGGCTATCTAGAAGCACCGAGGAACCAGCCCCTGCTGTCGGCCCCGCCCCCTGGGTGCATGCTGGAGAGGTGTCACCCTTTGTGAGGAATGAAGAAATGGACCATGCCTTGGCACTTGCCCCGGTCCCACCCCTTTCTGCCAGAGACCCTCAGATCTGTCCCACTCCTGCCCAGGCCCCCACAGGCACCCTTGACGCAAACGATGTAGAGCTGGCCATGCCCACCCAGTAGGCCACACCCACTCCATCCACACACACCCAGTAGGCCACACCCCTGCCCCCCCCGAGAGCAACCGCAATGCTGATGCGGCCCTCAGTGAAATTGAGTTTGACACCCCTGAGCTAAGGTCGCCTTTGTTCTTAATCTTCTAAAAGAAGAGTCAGCCAGATGGGCTCTGCTGCTCAGTAACGACGCATTATTAGATAATTCCCAGAACTTCATGAAAAGATTTAAAGCTTCTTTTGATGATGCTGCCAGAAGAGCCATCACAAACCAGGAGATCTCACAAGTTGAAGCAAGAAAACCATCAAGTTTGTAAGTATCAGATTCCCAGCTGTATGCCAGATGTGTGCATTGGAATGAACTTGCCCTGACTGGCCAGTTTTGGGAAAGATGTTCTGATGGACAGAGGGATGAATTAATAAGACCGGCCACACTAGAGAATTGGGAATAACTGCTTCAGGATTGTGTTAATTGATGGGCAAGTAGAAGAGCTGAGTCATGGAGGAAATAATGAGAAGATGTTTTACAATCTTTCATCACCCTATCCACTACCGCACTGCCTCCTTGGATCCATCCTTGTCTGCAGTGGAGAAATAAAGAAGTGGGATTTGGGTTTATGCTTTTATTATGGAACTATAGGAAACCTAATCCTGGCTTGTCCCTCTGAAGTTCTTTCTTTTGAATCAGCTGGAAAGTGCTGTATCTGAAGAAGTGCAAGTCATCGTATAAGTAAAAATCCAAATCACTCCAGAACCTCAAATTTGGGACACTTCATAGACTCCCCTCCCAAGAGCAGACAAGTGCATTTGATTATCCCTTTCCTTTTTGCGTTCCACAAACATAAAAAGGAAAGCCTCTGTTCTTATAGACTTGGACACAGCTTCATAGCTGAAAATATGGTAGTCAGTTTGGGTGGCCCACATAAATTGTTAGAGAAATATGTTGGCTGGGACAGCTGACAAGTGATCTCTTTGAGCTGGTCCTTCTTTGGCAATGTACAATTTCTCTGTAGTTGAAAATAAGTGATCATACAGAACGCTTGCCCCTGTCCATCATCACTTCCTTGCATGTCTTTATTGTCCTGGAGATAGACTAGGCACAAATGCACAATCAGGATACCCACTATGAACAAGAAATAATACTTTTTTTCCTCTCAAAAATGTCAACAGCATCGTTTGTAGGTGTCAGACTCCTTCTTCTCTTCCATACCACTGCCTGAATCTCCTTCCCTATCAGAAAAATATGCAAATTTCACTGATGTTCTGGAAAAAGAAGAAACAGCTACTACATCTCATCATAAGGCATCTGAATAAGCCATCAGCTTAAAAACTGCAACTCAGATTCCTGCTAAAAGGCAACATCCTAGTCTATTGTAGAGTTTGGCTTTTGAAAGAGTTTCTGGATGATCGTCTGAAGAAAGGATTCATTTGCCCTTTGCTGTCCTCACAACTGTTCCCTCTTTTTATGTATTAAAAAAAGGTAAATAAGTCTATTTCGACTTGTTTATAATTACAGGCTTCTGAACTCTGTGATCATTAGGACCCACTGTCCACGGACTCCTGTTTCAGATTTGCTAGATTGCCTTCAGAAAGCACACATTTCATTAAAGGTCTTAAGAGGAACTTATGATTTGATCCAAATGGAAGAGGGCCATGATTATTGGGACACCATATATTATATTAGAATGCAAAGTGCTGTAAAGCTCTATGGATTGCTTAATTGCCCTATGGATTTCTTAAGTTTCATAAATGAAATATTTACCATACCTTAGTCAAACACATACAGGTAGTTCTCAATTTGTTAAGTCGGAAATTTGCTAAGTGAGTCTTTGACCCATTTTACGAATTTTCTTGCCGCAGTTGTTAAGTGAATCACTGCAGTTGTTAAGTTAGTATCACGGTTGTTAAGTGAATCTGGTTCCCCTACTGACTTTGTCACAAAGTCACAAAAGGGGATCCCGGGACACTGCAACTGTCATAAATATGGACCAGTTGTCAAGCATCCAAATGTAAATCACATGACCCTGGGGATGCTGCAACGGTCATAAATAGGAAAAACGATCAAAAGTCACTGTTGTAACTTCGAACAGTCACTAAATGAACTGTTGTAAGTCGTGAACTACCTGTAATAGTGTATCTCAGGGGTATCAAACTCGCAACATCACGTGACGTGTCGCGTCGTATCGCAACTTTTTTGCCATTGTTGGCAACGGGGTGGGCGCGGTTTTGCTATGATGCATCTGGCCCGCGGGCCAGTAGTTTGACACCCCTGGTGTATCTGAATGACATCCTGATTTTTTTCCAGAAGTGCCATCTTTCCATGAGACTCATTTAAGAAATGTCCTAGAAAACCTTTGCAAGCAAAAGCTCTTTGCTGAGTTGGGAAAATGTGCATTTGATCTTTCCCAATTGGACTATTTAGTCATCCTGCCTTATAGAGAGAATACCAATAGATTCGCAGAGATGCAATCCATTCTCTTATGACAAGCTCCTTGAAATGGGAAAGATTCTCAGTGTTTTCTGGGTTTTGTCAATTTTTATGGACAAGTCATCCCTAATTTTTCAGAAACTCCCTCAAATTCTGGAAAAAAAGAGGGCGTACAAATATAAATAATCTACTTATGAACAAGCTTTAAGAGTCTCTTTTTTCCTGAGCTGCTACTGAAGCATCAGGATCCCAGTGGTCCCTGTGTTGTTGCAAACAGATACCTCAGATTCAGCTTTGGGATCTCTTCTCCTTTGGGCTTTGGCAAAGGAATAGAAAGATCTCTTGCCTTTGGCATTTTACTTCAAACTTCTTGTCCCAGCTAAAAGGAACTATGACATTTTCAGTAAAAAAAATATGAATTGTTTGATATGGATATGAATAATTGATTGCCATGGAAGCAGACATTTGGAGGCATTTCTTGGCAGAAGCAACACACTTCATACAGGTACACAAACAATATAAGAAATTAGCACATCTGCAAAAGGCACAGACTGACTCAACATCACATTTTCCCCTCACTTCAATTTTTATATCACTTACATTCTTAGCTCATAAAATAGGCTGTCAAATATACTTTCACACAAGGATGAATATGATATTCCCTGGCCGTTGCCCTTACCCACAACAATCTAATAGCCAAACAATTTTAACCAGTGGTGGGATTCAGCTGGTTCACACCGGTTTGGCAGAACTGGTAGCTAAATTTTGCTGAGTTCGGAGAACTGGCTGAATGCACACTGCTTCTGGAAGTCCATTCTAGGCCTTGGAGGCCTGGAGGAGGCCTCCCCAGTCTAGAACTGCCCACCGGAAGTGCGTGGATGCCACTTCTGGAAGTTTGTTCTAGGCCTCGGAGGCCTGGAGGAGGCCTCTTAGGCCTAGAATGGCCTGCTGGAAGTAGTAGTAATAGTAGTAGTAGTAGTAGTAGTAGTAGTAGTAGTAGTAGTAGTAGTAATAAAGTTATTACTTTATTTACTAGAGGTCATCTAGTCCAACCCCCTGCTCAGGCAGGAAACCCTATACCATTTCAGACAAATGACTGTCCAGTCTCTTCTTAAAAACCTCCAGTTTTGGAGCATTCACGGCTTCTGGAGGCAGGTTGTTCCATTGGTTAATTGTTCTAACTGTCAGGAAGTTTCTCCTTAGTTCTAGGTTGCTTCTCTCCTTGATTAGTTTCCATCAGTTGCTTCTTGTCCTGCCTTCAGGTGCTTTGGAGAGTAGCTTGACTCCCTCTTCTTTGTGGCAACTCCTGAGATATTGGAATACTGCTATCATGTCACCCTTAGTCCTCCTTTTCATTAAACTAAACATATCCAATTCCAGCAACCATTCCTTATATGTTTAAGCCTCCAGTCCCCTAATCATCTTTGTTACTCTTCTCTGTACTCTTTCTAGAGTCTCAACATCTTTTTTACATCGTGGTGACCAAAACTGGATGCAGTATTCCAAGTGTGGCCTTACCAAGGCACTGTAAACTGGTATTAACACTTCACGTGATCTTGATTCTATCCCTCTGTTAATGCAGCCTAGCACTGTGTTGGCCTTTTTGGCAGCTGCAGCACAGGCTCATATTTAAGTGATTGTCCACTAGGACTCTGAGATCCCTCTCACAGTTACTACTATTGAGCAAGGTACCCCCTATACTATACCTGTACATTTGTTTTTTCTTGCCTAAATGTAGAACCTTACTTTTTCACCATTGAATTTCATTTTGTTAGATAACGCCCAGTGTTCAAGATTGTCCAGATCCTCCTGTATCTTAAGCCTATCTTCTGGAGTGTTGGCTATTCCTGCCAGCTTGGTGTTGTCTGAAATTTGATGAGTTCCCCATCTATCCCCTCATCCAAATCATTGATGAAGATGTTGAAGAGCACTGGGCCTAGAACAGAGCCCTGGGGCACCCCACTACACACTTCCCTCC